AAATTATCGATCGAATAATAAATTCACAAGAACAAGTGAAAATATACTAGGTTATACTTTATTTAATAATATTTATTGGACATGAAATAATTAATAAATAATGTCTATTTATAGATATAATAAATGTAATTTTTCTTTAAAGTAAAATACAAAATTTGTATGATTCGAATTCCTATCATTTCTATGCATTTTGTGTACATATATATATACGATACATAAACGATTTTAATAACTCTCAGAAAAGGAATTTTGGATAAATGCTATCCTCTTTTGTTGTTCGTATAATAGGGAGAAAAGAGAAAGAAGGATAAAAATGGATAGAAAAAAAAAAAAATAAGAAAAAAAGAAGTTATCGATATTCGTATGGAGAGAATGTTCTCGAATTGAATGGAAAATTGACCGGAGAGAGTGAAAAAAAAACTTGTGCCGATTTCGAGCCGCCGGAAAAATATGGGACTCGTAATTCAAACTTTTACCCAAAACATTCTCTTTTCTCGCGCATTTTGTTTTTCCCCCTCCTATACCGTTTCTTTCTTTCTTTCTTTCTTTTTTAAATCAAATATAAAAATCAATACACGAGAAAAATAGATATGGCGTTACGGAACGAACGAATAACATCGTCGTAAATTAATTGTGAAATAATTCTGTGAATGAGAAAATATTAAAAATATCAGAAAAGTTTTGGGAAAAAAGTTGGTCGGCCGATTTTTGGATAGAAAAGTCGGAGTTAATTAAAACGGGAAAAAATGAGGAAGATAGAGGATTGGTGGCCGATTCGCGTGGTTAACAAATTGATAACGCATGGACGAAACAAGGAAGTCTATCCCAATGGTGGTCGTGTTTCTCTTTGGCGAAAGGAGAGCAGAGTTGATTTGCGAGCGGTACAATTATTTCCACGCGGAAAACTCGGCCGGTGGTATGGGTTCTCGATGGAAACAGAAGCAAATCACCGCTGCAAACATTGCAGAGGATTATACGGAAGCTGGTTTCATAAATTATGCGATTTATCTTACAAGGGGAGGAGGACGAGGAGGGGCTTTTCTTTTTTTTTCTTTTTTTTTAAATAACGACGAGCTCGGCTAACTAACTAGCTTACTCGCACCCTTTCGTCTTTATTTTTTCCTCATCTCTATTTTCTCGCCGGTGTATGGTTATTCTAGGTGTTTGGGGTCGGAATGGGAGGGGGACATAGACGAAAATCAATTTGCCACGAACCTCTGCCTCGCGTACACTTCTTTGCCCACACGGCGAACAAATCGAATTTCCTTTTCATCGAACAGCCCTGAACTCGTTTAAATGATTCGATTTCTCTTCATTTCTTCTTTCTTTGATCATATTCGCCTGTTCGCTCTTTTATCATTCTGTTTATTCTTACACGATCGATCATTTGCATTTACCCCAGATTTTATCTCAATTTATGCGATTAATTTACCAAAGAGCGCAAATATTTCGCGCTGAAATAGGTGAAAGCCTATATAGCTATATAGACGAGAAAGTAGAAAAATATCGTTTGAAAAATTGATTCGCTCGATCTATCCTACCTCTGCTAAGTTTCTATCCTTTCGACGAAACGAATCGCGCGGATAACGATTGTATCCAACTTCAAACCTTATTTCTTGTCCGGTAGCGATCGGTCACGGTCCTCTTCTAAGAACCACCACGATTTCAACACGATTTCCACGCACCAAACGCTATACACTTGTCCACCGAGAACAAGTCCGACAAGTTTATATAAACTCTGTGAATTGGCAACAATTGGTCCTTTTACATAATTCCACGCTACGTCGACGATACGAAGGCATGGTCTAACTCTCCAGAAATAGGCAACAAATACGAATCCCACGAAGATGCGAGAATTTCTCAAGTGTGAAACGTGAAACCACTCGGTCGACTCGTATCATCGTCGTCGACAATTAGCCGGGCTAATTGAAAGTGTGCCGTCCGAGAATGAGGATTTATTCGTGTCCAGTCCTCTGGAAACGACCACGTTAATGATGTTCGCGGCAAAATATTTCATCGCGTATTACGTCGCGACGGAGGGAAATAAGAAGGAGGGGAAAGTCGATCGGATTGCGAGGAACAACGGAAATGCAATTAATGATATTTCGAATCGTGAAATACAACGATCGCGGACGATTCGTTGCCTCTTTCGAATCGTTTTCAAACATCTATAGATTTCCTTCCTAAAATATTTTATCGCCAATTAAATATTTTATCGCGTTCTTAACGATGCTCTACGATTTTTCGAATCATTTTTAAACTAATATTTTGATATCGTCGATCGATGCGTTTATATCGAATCGGAAAGAGGAGTCGCATTTTAAGTCTAGAGGATGAAATGGCCGCCGATAGATTTGATCGAAACAATCAATTTTGACAATTTATTAGCTAATAATTTATTACTCTTTAATCTATCACTTTCCTTCGTTATGTTATTTTCTTTCTTTTTTCTCCCCTTCCTTTTCCCTATCCTTTTACTTGATCCGTTCAATTGACGAAAAATGAACAACTTTCCTACATGTTTAAATTCTCATCCATAATTTCGTGAAACATATATATTTCAATTTCAATTCGTTGTTTTATAAATATTATAAATATTGTTCGTTCGCTCGGTTATATAAATATTGTAGAAAATTCATTTTGCAGACAAATTCGAGTGTGTAATTTGTTTATTATATTTATAAATGTATATATAAATATGTATATAATTGCAATTAATATTTATTTATAAGTATATACTTTTATTTTTCCAAACATTTTTAATATCAATTTTCGTCTTTTTTCCCCTCTATTATTTATAAAATTTCATATTTCTTACCAGAAAATCAATTTTCCTTCGCTTTAGCCAATCTCATTGCCATCGCGTCTATATTTTTCTTCGTCGAACAACGAATTCGTATTTTGATCAATTTCTTTTAGAATTTTTATTCTAAATTTTTGAATAACAATTTATTTCTCTTAAAATTTTTAATTCTAAAAAGAGATTCGAGTATGTTGAGTGTATCCGTATTACAATCGTGTAATAATTTTCTCAATTTTTGAATGGACGTTTGTCGACGAAAAAGGAAGGGAAATCAATGAAATTCTTAACGATGCTTTTTTTAAAACATTTTTCTAAATTGGAAAGGGAATAAGCGAATTACAAAAAAATTCTTCTCCGTTTCGTTCGTTGCGAATTATTCCTATATGAAGAATAATCACGAATGAAATCGTCAAGTACTATTTATCATACGTTTCATCGAATCGAAAGAAGAAATGGAAAATCAAAATCATGTCGCATCTATACCCCAAGCTATAAGATTTCCATTATTACAGATTATATAGAAATTTTTGTAATCGCGATAAAGCGAAGAAAGTATCAAGTGTTATTTTCTTTACGCGTTCCATTATTCCGATTGGTCGAAATTGAAATTTCACCAAGTTTATGGTGAATTTATCGAACGTAACGCGAGATCTTTAACCCCATTATTCGTGGACCAGAGTGTGCACGCATCCGAGGTTGGGAGATTAAGTGAAACCAGACTCGCGAAAGCATCAACACACGGAATGTCGGTTGTAAATTACACCGAGTTAAGTGCACAAGCGGAGCTAAAGCCTCGGTAATTGGTACGCATTTACAGATTCGATTTAATTTATCCCGGTTTCGTATCGATCTCTCCTCTGCTCAATTAACGATACATACGACTATAATACCTCGAAACCAATCGTATCGAACTCTCAATCACCGATCGAAAGGAGATATTTTTCATATCCTGCACCATTTCCAATCCTCGTAAAATTTCATACGATTCTCTTTGATTAATATTTCATTCGATTACAATATTATTCCGAAGTAAGCAAGTATTGTCCGGTTCGAAATACACATCTGTGTTACTGTGCGTTTGTTTCTGATCGAAATCGGTCGCAAAGTCGCGAAATCCGTGAAAACGAGAAGCTTACGCGTCATGATCAATTTTTATACCCGTTTGGAATCGTTTAACCACCGTTACGTATGAATCGAGAAAAAAGGCAAATCGAATGATATAAAGCTGGTCCGGAACGAGCATCCGATCGATCTCGAGAGATATGTTTATTTTGGAACAATATTTTAATTGAACACGACTAAAATGGAAGCATTGATATGATCAAGAATCGTTCTTTCACTTGTTTTTTCTATGAAACGAGCAATTGAACGAGTCGCGATATCGTTAATACAAGAAAGATATTTATTATATTTATAATCTACTTACAGGAACGTTCTACTTACCGTGTCTCTGTAAAAAATCGTTTTGAAGTCCTAATACGGCTTGTAATAATTTATGTTGCGTGCCGTTTCTCTCGTGTTTTTTCCCCGTTTTTTTCGCGTTTAACCCGATCGACACGGTGCACACCGATTAAATATATTTTTTGGAAAGTATAGTTATTCGTCGCGAAATTATCTCGTCTAACCAAATATTATTGAAAAATAAATTTTCAATCACCTTATTCTTCACAAATTGCTCGATTATTTTTCTGATCGAAAAATTGGAAAAAAAAAATGTAACGAACACGGATGACACGAAACGTGGTCTGGTTGCTCGCTCGATGACGAACAAGTTAGAACTCGAGAAACAAATAAGTAGTCGTTCAATGTCGGCGCGGATGACACGCGATCGATTTGCGTTGAGACACGAATCGATGAAAATTGTGTACATACCGAGACGATTATGTTAAAATAAAGACCGTGTAACGAAGAAAATCGCGATCGTAACAAGAAGTCGATTATTGAATCTACTATTTGTTCTAACGCGTTGCCAATTGCTAAAATAAAGACGAACCGAAGTGCTAAAATAAGAACGATATAACGAAAAGAATCGCGATCGTAGCAGAAAGTCGATTATTGGATCTATTTTGTTCTAACGTGTTGTCAATAAAAATTTAGAAATGTACGCATATATATTTTATTTTATAACAGAACTAATCAAAGATCGGTAGAATAAAACTTTGATCGAACAGAGGTAAAGAGCGACGAAACGTCGATAAAGATAAATGTTGAGAAAAGAGAAATCGATTGCGTTCTTCTTTTTCGACGATTTTTATTTATTTATTTATCGTTTAGATCTTACAAAAGAACATATAATACATATTACGGCTTGACTGTGAATCCATAATAATAATAATAAGTAGTACAATATTCAAAATCTTAGAACTTACATCGTAGCGCATTCACGCCCATGTGTTTTTAGCTTAAAAATTAGAATCACTTGGTGTGAAGAAGAAAGAGCTCGTATGCGCGTATTCCTTACGCTCATCTATACGTACATGTGTATAATAGTTAGGGGGGAAATTGAAATGAATAATGATAACAAATGTGATGCACGGGTGAAAATCCGGAATGGACCGTAAGTACATACGTATGTACTTACACGCACGTATGATGCATCATGTATGATTCATAAATTCGACGTTTATTATTTTTCTTTTCGTCTCTTCTCCTTGTTACATAGAAACAACGATCAATGCCGTAATTCTTATGCACAATGAAAGGAAAAAAGAAAAAAAACGCGAAATCGCGAAATTTCGTTGTGCTTCATGCTCGTCTATCCTATCGTTATTTTTCTCTCCCTTTTTTTTCTTTTTTTTTTTCACGAAACAAAACGAAATTTACACGATCTTATTCTTCGATTAGAAAAATGCTACAATTTCGCTTTCGTTTTCTGTTGGAACGGGTTCTTATTTCCGAATGATACGAAAAAAAAATTCGCACCATTTTACATACACGTATGTACGTATATCTAAAAAAAATGAGGGATCATCGTTTGTTCGTCAAACTCCTGTTTAACTCGAACCTTATCGTACGAGAGTTAAACGCGTTTACGCTATTCACTTATTTTTCTTTTCTCTCTCATCGATCGAAACAACGACGCTCCTCCACCAACGATTGGAGTTTCGAGACGATTAGTCTTGCTCTTAAACGATGATGACCGATCAAAGGCGGATACTGAATATTCGGTTGTGTGTTAATGAGCTTTCTTAACGACTAACACCAAACTTTTCTTATCTTTGGTTTATCTACGAGTTTAATATTTTCCAGAGGATTCGTGTGTATATGCGTGTCAATGTGTGCGCGTGTATTATGGATGTGTGTATGCATTTTGTATTGGCGCACGCTTCCGGCGCGCGCTGTGCGTGTCAGGAGAGAGAAAGAGAGAAACAGACAGATATTTTTCTTTTTTTTTTTTTAAATTTCTCTTAATTAAGAATCGTGCTTAAACCTAGCTTACGAGATATATATATATTTTTTTCTCTTTTATATCCTATGCTTATCGAGAATTATTGAACAAATTTGGAACGTTTTTTAAAACATCTTTTATATATCCTCGATTCGAACGAGAACGCTCCACGCACACGTGAAACACAGGTGAACAGAAATCATAGCTATCGATGCATTTTCGATATTTCGAGAAAAAGTTTACCTTTTTCTCTAGGGAATAACGTGGCGCACGCGACGAAACTCCGTTTCGAATATAATCTTACTCGATCGCCTCAACGTTTAATTTACTTTTTTCTAATTATTTGTATAACTTGTTTTTTTTTTTTACCTCTTTTGTCTGTCTTCGTATGCGTGTATGCGTCTCTATTTACAACAGGCGTCGTACCACAAAATATCATCGTACGGGATTCTTAAATAACGATATTCGATCGAGTCGACGAAGAACGCCAAAGGTGAATATGAAAAAGAGGATTAGCTCTTTAAACTAAGAGATCTAAGAGAATAATTGATGAAAATCTAACTCGCGACCTCGCGATTCATACCCCGTAGAGAATCTTTAGATCGATCGAAAATGTAGCATGATCTTTTTTTACTTTTACCAAATTATCGCAATATTCGTATACATATTATATTTAAAGAAGATGGATTTGAAAGATTTTTTTTGATTGCTGAAGTATAATAGAAGATTGTAGATTGAACTTAATTTCACAACGTTATTACGAAGTTAATTTAGTATTATTCTGATTTTAATTAATGTCTGATTTATTATGTTAATTAAATTTTGTTTCCAGAATAAAGTTAGAAATTCTTCTTTATTTTTTCCCCATTCAATTTTATCGTTACTTGTCAAATTCTCCAACTGCTTCAACTCACGTTTGTCCTAATTACAAGATTATCCGTGGTAAAAGAATCAACTTTCGTCTAAAATCATTCGTTTTAAATTACTTTTTTTCATCTATTTTTGAAAAAGAAGAAAAAATGAAAGATGGAAAAAAGATGGAATATTTTTTCTTAATTTTCTTATTTCACGCTCTGTTTTCTTTTTTTTTTTTTTTTTTTTTTTTTCATTTTACGCTATATGAAATAGGGAAAGAACAAATAAATTTAGATAGATTGTCTTTTTCAAAGTTATTACTACGCGATAGTGTGGTAATTATTTAAATATAATGTATAATATTAATTTACATATCGTTTTGTCGAAATACAAAAAATGTATTTGAATGGTAATCCATTTGTATCTTGAATTTGGAAAAATTCGTAGAAAAATTAAATGAAAGAAAAAATGACTAGAAGCAGATCGGTATTAATAATAAGAAATACAATTGTATAAATTGTATTATACGTAAATTGACTGAAAAAGAAAATTGTAAATAAAAAGTTGAAAAAATAACTTTAAGATAGTTAAAGATAGTTAACGGATATTAAACTACGTCTTCAATGTGCGTTTTAATCGTGTTTTTTCTTCTATCGACTCATCAACTTCGTCTTTCCGGCCAAGGTCATTTTGCAATCCGACTATTCATATACTATATTGTATATCACGATGCTATATATATATATATATATAGTTATTATATATATATATATATAATAACGCATATACTATGACAAACAATCTCAACATCATCGATAATTCTCCATTTTTTCTACTTTCTTCCACTTTTTGCTTCTTTTTTTCTTCTAGATCGCGCGGGGCAAGCGATATTCCACGTTATTAGTCGATCGTCCATCATTATCAAGGAGGATTTGATCCTGGACGCCAATTTCGCTTCGATAGTTTGGCATTTTTATGATAAAAATGAGGCAGGATCGTAATATATAAAATTTTATTCTTACGTGTTTTTTCAATCTCGTTTCATCGTGCGTGTAATTCTCGTATTTTTTTTTTTTTTCTTTTTTGGAGAGGGATGTATTTCAAATTAGTAAACTTACTTGATTAGAAAGTGAATTTAGACGTAATTATAATCACACACGAATTTTTTAGTAAAAATCTATGAGCGAATAATACGAGTCGAGGGATTGGATATCTTTTTCGATAATTTTATATCCTTGGTTTTCTGTCTTTTTTTTTCCCTAGAATATATTAATTAATAACGAGATCTTGAATATCTCGAGAGGCTCGAATGTTCGAACATTTTAGAACAAATTTAAAAATTAATTTTAAAAAGTAAATTTTTTCTCGTAATAAAAATAAACAGAGATAATCGATATTGTTTTTGCCCTAGTCGCGTAATTGAAAGCTTTAAATCTAAAAATTTCTTACGATATCGCAACGGCTCAAACGAAGAGAGAAGAAATTTGAATCTAATTATTATTCTGCTTTCCTCGATTCTCGATAAAACTTAACTATTACGAATAATAAGTTAAGAGCTAAAAGATGGCACACAGAAGTGGAGTCGAAAAGAAGAAACAGAGAGATATTCGTCCAATTTACTTTAAGAATACTGTTTTCCTATGATACGATATTAAAAAAAAAAAAAGACGACGTTCTTTCTTTTTCTTTTTTCGACGTTTTTTCATCGTTCGTGGTTCCTTTATCTTTTCGTTTGCTCTCCGCGGTTCTAAAAGGAAAAGAAAAAAAGAAAATTCGCTGTGTATCGTCGCGAACGACCAATTCACTCGCTTTTTTTCTTCTTTCCCTCGATTGTCTGACGTTCAATTAGGGGCGTAATTAAGCCAGTTGGCCAAAGAAGGAGGCTTGACGGAGACGAAGGGAGGTCGCATCGTCCCTCCTTCCCTTCCTCCTTCTTTCAAAAAACTCGAGACCGCGCCAATTTAGCGATCGAATGTCGCGTAAACCGCGCGAACACTTTCGAAACACGTTTAAGGGAATTGCATTCGATCGCGAGTCGAGGATTTAACAACGAAGATATTACCTATCGAATCAAGGAGTTTGAAATTTCTTCTTTGACAGATTTTTTTTTTTTTTTTAACCGATTATCCACGTATAAAAACGAAGATCAATCGTGTATTCTTTTTTACTCGTTCCTTCTTTTCCTTGCTACTCGATCGCCAATCGCTTTCTTTCGTTCTAATTAGAATCATTAGAACATTACGCGATAACGCGTCTTGACTAGCGAAACTTGATCGACAACAACAATTTGTTCGACCGATCAATCGTCCGTGATTATTATTAGGTACTTGTATCGATCGATCGATATTCACGAATGAAAGGAATAAATGATGAAAAATCGCGAACGATTCGATTCGGATTAATAATGAAATTGGTACAAAATAAAAATTGGGGATAATCGACGATATATCAAGTGACTCGATGCTTAAATCTGATTAGAGATTAGAGATTTCTCGATAAAGAGAATTATAAAGATATTTAATCGTATGGTAAATTAATAGGATTGAATATTGGTCGATCAACGGATGAATACAAAAAGGAATGGAGGACGATCCATAACGGTAAAATCAGCGCGATTGCACGGGGAATTGACTCGTAAGCTTCGTATTCACGATCAATTTCCGTTTCCGCCCAACTTCCGAGAATCTCGCGAGGATGCGGTTGATCAGAAATTGTCCACTCGTTAAAACAATTTTAACGTATGCGCGCGCGTGTACGTTATATAATTTAGAGAAATGTTTGGACCGATGATGAATCAGATTCGGTCAGAAGAGTCTTCGTGAAAATGCAATGATACGAGTAGATATCGAAACGTTGATTTTTTTTACAAAGCGTTGACGTTTCCACGTTTCAGTGGGATATCAGTTTCCTCGATCTCTGAAACGAAACGAACGCAAAAGTTGACGTACAAAAATCTCCGATTTGAGACTTATTTATTATTAAGTTATAAGCCAAGTTTATTGTAGATCTCTTATTCTCTCTCTCTCTCTCTCTCTCTTCCTCTAATACGAATTTAAATTATTTATAACTTGATGTTAAATGTAAAACCTAAAATCTTTGTAAAATATCAACTTTTGCGTTTATTTCGGCCTTTCGAAATCGATCTTTCCCGAACACGTTCCACGAATATATTCCAAACATTCTGTCATAATCGCGAATAATATTTTTGACGAATTGGAAATATTGATGGAATTTTGATTTATTCTCCTCCACCCCACTCCCCCGTTTTCTGCGAATTCCTCGATGATATGTGTTTAATTAAATCAATCGATTACAACGTTACCCCGTGATCGATGAAACGAACAAAGTCTCGTTAGGATATTTTTTTCCTAAAATCCTAAAGTCGATCGCGATACGAGCCTCGTTTCTATTTCTATTTGCGAATTCGCATTCGATCGATATCGCTAAAAATTTTCTTTTTATTCCGTTCATTTTACGGGGATTCGAAGAGATTCGAAATGAAACTTTATCTCTTATTTCATTTCCAACATTTTTCCGATCATCCGATCTATTTTAATTAATTAATCAACATCGAGTTGTACGAAACGATCGATTTCATCACAACAAACGATATCACGATCTAATGGCTAAACGTTTCGTGGCTAAATGATGATATTCGTCGCAACTTGGTAAATTTCGATCAACCTTGTGTTGTATTAGATTATTCCGTGTAAAAGTATAAAAAAAGGAGCGTAGGTTTATTTTACAANTTTTTGTTTTTTTTTTTTTTTTTCTTTTCTTTCTTGAGAACGCACGAAGACCATTTCTGACGGACGTATTATTTACAAACTTGTTTGAAATCGGGCGAGAAAAAATCGCGCGCGAAAAGTTAACGATGCGAAATTACGAGAATGAAAAATGGCAGTTACGGATAAGCAGCCTTAAATTAAACGTACGCGACGAGACCGTTGTGCTTGTGTAGAAAAACGGGAATCGAACAATTTTGGTGTTTTAGTTCATCTCGAGATACCGTGTATCCGGCGGAATCACGTTCGATAATTCCGTTTCCACGCCCGACCACGTGTTTTCGGCGTGTCCTCGCAAGGTGGCTTCGTTCTCTCTTTTTTTTTCGCCAGGAAAAAATGATCGGGCGATACTCGTTCGACCGCCGATCTATTTCTATTCGAATTCACAACGATGGCCTTGTGATACGTGATCGGGGTTGTTGTACCTGCTATCATACTTGCTAATTTCTAGTGACTCGGATCTCGACTCGGTTTTGATCGGTCGAATTCTAAAAAGTCGGAATCCTTTTTCTCGGATTATTTGAAAAATGTTTCTAGAGAAACTACTTGTATCTCGCGTTAGTTTGTGGAAAGAGTAGTAAGCATGATAAAAATTTTGATTTCCGTGCGAGGACACGCGCGACGATTCACACGCATACACACCTCGCATTCGATTCGATTATGCAGGTATTTACGTATCGAGATATCGAGAACCGTCCTTTTCCTCGCAGACGGATGGTCGTCCTTCCGGCGATCTGTTCGTTGGTGGCGAATAAAGCCGCTTCTACGTGAACAGGACCGATAGCATTGGGAGAAGAGAGTACAAAAGGACGGACGGGTGAAGGCGAATAAGAGCGGCCGAGGATGAGAACCATATGGAACCCGAGGAACCGACGCGAGCGTTCTCGTGCCGACTCGAAGGTTGCTCGGACGCCATTAGATCCTCCCTCGAGGGCTCCGGGCACGGAAGCTCCTCCAGTTTCAACTCGAACAGGTTCTTCACGTAGCACAGCTTACCCTCCACCATCTGTACCTGTAACAATTTGTTTGGAGAAGAGCGTGTTAGTCCCGGCTCGGTTTTGCCTTTCGAGTAGTAATTCTCGCAACCGTTAATTAAACCAGCCCTATAATCCGATACTTATTTTCCTTCCTTCGACACGTGTAAAACGTTTTTTTTTATTCTTCGAAATTTTCTAACTATCTTGTGAGATATATTACGTAAAAATTTAGCAAATTCGTTCGCTTCGAAGTTTACACTGTGATAAAAAGGGAACGAATAAATAAATTTTATTCGTTGTAAAAAGGGGGAAAGAGAGAGAGAGAATAAAACGTTCATATCATTTCAAATAAAATATTAATTTTAACTCGCGGTTTCGTCGCGATTTTCGAAAAATTGTCACGCCTGGCTAGTTAATTTACGAGAAATTTCACGAGGGGGGGGAGGGGGGGGGGAATTGGCGAAACGGAAGGTATGCGCGACCGCGATAAGAAATTACGTAACAACGTTTTATAATTCAGAGAGGTGGCGTTGTTTCGTTTGGAAGAATGCCGTTGTTTCGTGAAATTTGAAACGGCTATCGCAAACGGCGTTAATTCTGATTTTATCCCTGATTATATCGATGCTACGCTCAAATAAATCGATTTGAAAAAATTCCCTCTCGATTTTCGTTCGCGATACAAACGATTGTTTATAAGGAGAGTAAGTAAATTGTTGCGAACATATCGGAAAACAAATGGTATCGTGTTTATCGTTATATAAAACTCGAAAAAGTTCTCCGCGAAAATAATAAAAATCTCAAGATTCGATCGTTGTTGGAAAAACGACGTAAATAGTGCGATAAACGAACTATATAAAATAGATGGTAGAACAACAACAACGATAGATCGTCGTTGGACGTTTAATTTTGCGAGAGATGGAAGAAGAAACGTGACGCGGAATCGATACCATTTTCCCTGGCTGGAAGAAAGGAAAACGTATGAAAGGTAAACGTATATCTTACCTTTGGTTGAAAATCGGAATTCGAGGAAGAATCCTCGTATCCATCTTTACTTTCGTACTCGTCGCCCATGTAAGCGTCATCGTCCTCGATACTACCGTCTCTCGAATTCCCGCTCCGATATTCCTCTGTAACAGGGGAAAATCGAAAATTTGAGGAAAATGCGTATCGAGCGGTAGTCGAATGCGCGTTTTCCATTATTGTCCTTTTCCCTTTCCATTTCCCTTTCGTATCGTATCGCGTATATAGCGCAAGATGAACGTAACATTTCAACGTTAGACAATGATAAAATGAAATTTTACTATTTTATTTGTTTAATTTTGTAACGAGAAAAAAGCTTTATTTCCAGTTCAAGTTTAATTGCATTCACGATATTTCTCGTTCACTAATGTCCAATGATATCGTCTGTTTACTAATTTAAAGAAATTGTGGAACGAAAACGAGTGATTTCTCGAGGTTGAATTCTTCCTAAAAATAAATGATATACAGAAAAAGAAAAGAAAAAACATTTCTTTGGATCCAAAAAATTAATTAATTTATCTCGATGATTAAAATTGAATCGAGAAATTGATATATAGGATTGAATATATAAGATTGAACGTAAATTTTAAAAACAATGTAGGAAAGAGAATCCCACTTTGCTAATTATTCAACAGACAATGAAAGATTCGAAGAAGGAGTCTCCTGTGTCTTCACCGAGACACGGAGATATACGGTTAAGCGATTACGATTCCGGACGTTTTTCCCTTCGCGATGCAAGTTAACTAAACAACGAATGTTTCGAATGACGTACAAAAAAATGGTAAAACTTTGCGTTTCGTTCCCATCTCAATTATTACAACAATTTTTTAATCGGCTAAAATAAAATTATTCGAGATTAATAAAAAAATTCAACGTTACGTTACGAATCGAATCTTATTACGTACGTAAATTTGACGACGACGATAATCGTTGTCGGGATGAATCGTATTTTCATAATTTTAAGAAAAGAGAGAAAGTAGTAATCTAAGACTGAACGATCGATTATGAATGATTAACACTTAGGTTATTACAGAAATCTGTTCGTATCTCGCGGATCGTTGTACGAATGAAAATCCGAGTAACGTAACAACGCGTTACAAGAGTGGAGAAAAGTTGGAGAAAGTAGGAAGAGAGGAAAGAGAATGCGATAAGTAGCGCGGCAACTTACCAGTGTTTCGTGCATTCTCGAGCGCCTCGTTCCATTCGAGATCTTCCTTGCTGTTCATCTTCAGCGTTGCGTTATTGCTCTCCAAGAAGCAAGTAAGCTCCTCCAGAGAGTCCCGCAGCTTTACGTTCTTCGTCTCGTTCCTCAGACCCCAGATCCATGCTAGTTTGCAATCGCAGATCAGTTTATTGCCTGAAACAAGCGAATCTTTGGAATGGATGATCTTTGGAAAAAAAGAGAAGAATCGCTTTAAACGATTTACGGTACGGTTCCTATGTTATGAAATTTTTCTTTCACGCTGCGAAGCGGTTATACGAAGTATATATTTGTAATTAATCGCTCAATAATGCATCTCATGGGTGGTATGGAAAGACTTTTCCAGAATTTTCTGACCGTCAAAAATTCATGCGATTGCGGTATATCGTTCGTATACTACGAAAAGCTCGTGTTAGACCAACCCGTACGCTCTTTGACTTTCCATGCTTTCCTCTAAGAGCTTCTTTATGTTTGCCACTCTTGTGGAATTTCCATAGCGAAGTTTGGCTGGCTCGAGTTTGACCGATTCCCATTTCAACCAATTTCATTTGTAATGGGAAATTCGTGGAAAGGAAAAACAGATACGTGTATAAAGATACGAGAATGTAATAATAATAAGATTATATACTCGTTTACTCGAAAAAAAATCTGCTACGCGTCGAAAAGAAATTTCGCTCCTACAATTCTTTTTCTATCCGAATTTTCATATTGTTGTTGTTGTTCGATAGAAAGAATTCCGAAAATTCGAAAAATTATGGGATATAGCTACGAATATAGAGTACAAATAAGTACGTACAAATAATTAATATAATACGATTACGGAATAAAATGGACAATAAATAAATATCAGTTGTAATTTGATATCTTTTTCTGTGATATTTGTGTATTAGAAATCAACGGATATGTTACGCGTACGATGCAGGAAAAATCTACAATTTTCGATGGTCAAGAAAGAAAATATTAAAAATTAATTTATAAATTTACTTCCAGCTTGCGAAAACATGGAATTGCTTGTTGTTGGGGGGGGGGGAGAAGGGGAGGACTAGATAAATTACGGAAAATTCATTGTCATTTACGCGAAAGTAGCGTGGGCATCACTTATTCTCCATTTTTCTCGATGGCGGAAAGAAGAATGGAAAAAGAAGGGATGCTATTAAAGTTGGTCGTTTCATTTTCGATTCAGCGAAGAAGGATTAGCGCGAGACAACACCTCTCGCTTCTGTGAATGTAATGGATATGAAAGTGGTGATTGTCGCGTGGACAATAGCGCTTAGCAATTATTTTAAAGCAGCCCTCGAAACAATGAGACCAAGTCGCGTATATAGTAACTTGTTCCATATTCCAGCTTTGAAGCTCATAATGGCTCGTAATAACAGCAGAAGCGGTGGCTAAAGACCAACCGACGCAACTGTCTCTGTCCCTTCAATTTCCATTTATCTTATACTTTAATCGTTACACGATTCGGATACCGTCCGTTTCAAATCTCGTTTCCCCTCGTTTCCTCGGGGGAGGAAAATCGAGCAAATCGAAACGTTTCGCTCTCGAAGCGATATTATTTAGTTCGAACACCGACAAGTAGGTAAGGACGAGTAGATGGAAACAACGAGGGGACGTTACTTTCCGTTCGTTGTTCTTGCATGTTTGATGGCCTCAGCTTCTGTCCGACTTTTGTTTCGAGTGGCACGCGTCCTTCGGGATCGCGCGGTGAAAATTGAAAGGCCAACTCGGCGAAACAAGGGATGACCGGCGTCGTGGCATCACGTGAAAAAATAATGAAACGCGTGTAACGTATACAACTCGACTCGAATTGTACTCGAACGATCGTAATTTCGCGTATTTGATCGTGAAATGGAGGAAAATAGAGACACTTCGAATCAGATATATAACTTCTCTCTATTTCCTTTCGAATAGTGGATTACTTCTCGAGTGGATGATTGTATATTTTTATCTCAATCCTTTTGAATTCGTTCGAAATACGTGTTACGTTACAGAGAAACGCAGAGCAGTTTCGAGGGAAGAACGATTTCGTCTCGACGTAATCTTGCAACGAGAATATCTACGATCGGTTAATTTTTAAAAATATACTTCACGATCGTAGTTTATCAATTGGCGAAATCGATTCGTGATTTTTCTCGATTTTTTTTTATTATAATCGAATGAACGGATTTTTCTAGCGTTTTTATCGGAAACATTGAATCAGCAACTTTGGATAGATTCTTTCCCAAAGAAATTTCATAATCGTGATCGTTTCCGACGTTACGATCGATAATCCTGCAAAATGTGGCGATCAACATTTATTTGACAACGACAAAATTTTGATGTAGGAAGGGAAAAAATTAGAGACGCGCCAATTCATTTTTTTCTTCTTTTCAATTGTTTCAATTTCAATTGAAGAGAGAAAGAGAGAGTGAAGGAGAGGGAAGAGAGAACGAATAATTTTCAAAAATTATGGATACGAAAAACTGGACTTTCTCTTTCGTTTCAAATCGAATTTAAAATAGAAGAAAAGATTCGGAACGATGTTTCTCTTCTGTAACGTATCGGCGTGTTGATAATTCTGTCCACATGCAAAAGTGTTGGTGAAGATTTGTAATTAGTTGCTCGATCTCAAGGTGTGAGAATTTTTTTTTTTTTTTTTATAGGCGAACGGGGAAGTTTGACGGGGCAAAGGGTTTCGATAAGATTTTGATTGTTCGCGTAGGCGATGAAACTGCCGTGAACAGACCTAGCCGAAAGGGAAAGATAATTCTCGAGGATGATACAGCGAGGAAGGCTCGAAGCGATTCACGGTGCGATTAAACGGAATAAACGATCGTCGATAAGAGTTACGAGAAGCCGTGAGAAACTTGTTGTTCGAAGAGAATTAACAGCATCGTTTCGCGTTCATTCGTAATCAAGTTTGGGAGAACGTTGTTTGGGAATAATTGAAAATCTTAAAAATATGAATTCTTCGTTGCTCGAAATTGTCAGATTATGAAAAAATATGGAAGGTAAAAATTGAAAAGTTGCGAAGCCTCGTTTCCCACGGATCGTGATATTGTAAAAAAAAAAAAATCAGTGCTTATTCGGTAAATGGGGAAACATATCGGTAACGAAGCCAAGTGGTGAACACGTTGTTCCCATATCGCGTTTGTATCCGATGATCGCTTTTCACCGATCGAATTCTCAATTTCCATCGCTATCGTACTTTATTTCCCACGAGGTCGAACCACTCCCCGCGGTATTTGATTATTGTTACACGTTCTTTCACTCCCTCGAGTAGAAACGTCTTCCTTTTTTCCCTTTCTCTCCTCTTCTCTCTACGGATTTTCGTGGTCCTTTTGATCGTTCTAGGTCAGGCAAAAGGCGGCATCGAGGATCGATCTTCCGGAATGAAAAACGGCTAAGAGTGTTCCTCGTGAAGGAAAATAGAGAAAAGAGAAGGAATCTTCTTCTTCTCGTATCTACCGTTTCAGCTCTCTCTCTCTCTCTCTCCTTATCTTGTTCGATCGTTTCTCTCTTCGCTTTGGAATTTTCATCTACGTACGTCCAACGAATCTTTAACCGGATCCTCTCCTCTTTATTGGATCATTTCTTTTTCCTTTTCTCCTCCTTGTCTTTTCTTTCTTTTCCGGTTCAACGTTTCTTTGAAAGTTTTTTTCACCATCTTTCTCCAGTTTTGGTTCTGGATCAGTTAGGCTCGAATAGGTAAAGCGACGCGATCGACTGATTTTTTGCGTTTCCCTTTGAAACTTTGCCTCGGGAAAGGTGGAATTTAATTTTTATCGTAGCTACATATTTTTTCGAACCACGAACGTTTTAAAATTTTTATTACCTTCTTCTTTTTTTTTCTTTTTCTTTTTTTTTTTTTTTTTTT